ACAGGCTTATCAGACACAGCTTTCATCAATGATACTATTTGGCCACTTGTTGTGTTTGGTCATCAGCAACCGTAGCAAGAGTGGCCAGTGGTGTAGTGTTGGCACCACGCTACACATGCAAACAAACCACTTTAAGTTGATTTCTCCTCAGGTACCCAGAGGAAGATCATGTTTTATTTTATAAGACGGTAAAAATGTGTTCTTAGGCAGATAAGAGATGGTAGAAAATAGTAGAAGGGCGCTCCTGCCCTTGTTTTGTTAAACAGGTATGATGGGCCTATTATATTGCATATAAGACATTTGTGTTTGGTCCTATAGATTACTGCGGCTATCACCCTCGTACGTAGAAAGAAAATCTTTATAGTATTTTGTGAGTACTTGAAGAGATCCCTATCTGTTCCAACTACCGAAAAAATTGGCGGTTGTTACAGCATTGTAACACAGAGCTCTCAAAACAAACTTGAATACATACATAACCCTCTCGAAAATGCAGGGGCCAGTGTGGAGGACAACTTCAGGAATGCGAGGCAATGTGTGTAAATAACTGATTTCCTTCTGGAATAACATGACCATCAGCCATCTAAAGCAAAGATGGTTTTTACTACCTGAAAAAATGAGGCACAGTCTTAGCATGAAAATAAGCAACATTATGCAGACATAGCTAGGTCTGTGGTGATTGCTGCTAACATTCCCTGAGGGAGGAGAGTCATAAGATCCTCACCAAGAATTCTAGAACTTCCTTCCTTCTGACACATGCCCTGTGTTGCCTTTGGGGACAAGCTGTGAGTGTATATAGGAGGGTTGAAACGTTGACCACAGGTAGGAATTCTGTGGGGCAGTGTTCACTAGTCAGCACCAAGCTGCAGTGGGACTTTTCAGAGATGCATCTAAGATCGATTACACCAAGTTTCTGTAAGTAATCTCTTACCTAGGAGTGAATGCAATCCTTTCTTCACATTCATTGATGGCCTATAGAATTGATTAGATATTTATTCAAAAGTAAAACAACAGGATTTAGAAGAACTTTTCAATCATTTTTTTTAGAAGTCAACTGCATAAGGGCACAAGAAGTCTTTCAATCTTAGCTATTAAACATGGGAACCCTTCTTCTCCTGAACATTATGTGACACGATCCAGAGACATATTGGATGTTTTAAGTGATGTGAGAGAAGAAAGAGAAGTATTTTAAAAGATGCCAATGGATAGAAACCATAGATACCTTTCAATATTTACTAACAACAATGCAATTCTGAGAACAGGAGTATCTAAGCTCAGAAATTTGCTGTCACTGAATTGACATTGAGCAATTGGACTTTATTGGCAACATAAGAGCAATTGCATCCAATTCTTCTCATCTAAAGGGGAATAAAGCAACATTTTTAGTTTCTGGATCTCATGCATAATTTTACATAGCAGAATCAATTGGGAAGCATTCAGGTCTGAAGTATAAATAGACACTGATAACAGATTTTATTCATAAACTGATTATCAGTGTGGTTTAAGACAAATTTCACTACAGAAGGAATAGTGAGGTAGTGATAATAAATTATGTTTTTATTGTACATAAAATTTTCATATTTTTTTCTTTTGAGGAAATTAAATGGCATATTAAATACATTTATATACATGAATTTACATATACTGCATGTAAAATTATATTATATGAAATATTAATGAAATGAATCGGTTTTTGAAAGTATTTTTGAAAGATAAAACTATAATAAAAATTATATAACACTAATTTTTCAGCTAAGACACTTTTTAATATTGTATAATTCACTATATTTTACTAAAGTTTATTTTGAATATATGAGTTTAGGTATTTTCTGTGCATAAAATTTTTTAAATGTACCTACTTTTATAATGAGCATCCTCCAGAGGAGCCCTAATTTATTTCAGAAACTGTCTTGGAATTGTTTCACTAAAGTAACTATGTGTCTGCATGTTTTCCCTTCTTCTCATGAGTATAACTAACGGACACAGGAAAGACTTGTTTTTGTTTTCCTGATGAATCCTGAAACCGATGAGCAAACCAACAATGGCCACATACAAACTTTCTGAAGTAGGTGACTTAAAGGGCTGGGGAAACAGGAAGAACTGAGCTTTCTAGAGCATCTGCTACCACATCATTGAAGACGAAGTTTTGATTTTAATGTTTGAATTCATCTAATTTTCCTTTATCTGAAATTTTAATACGCGACAGAGCACATCTCCATCATTACGGCCTTCTCTCCCATCCCCGAATCTTGTGTACCCTAACTATCTAAGATAATGACATTTTCCTCAACTATTATTACTAAATATACATATCTCTAACTGAATCTATTTAGTCTTGTTTATAAGCACATACATTCAGGGATGAGCACATAAGCTTAGATAACCTTTGTGGGAGTTTGTTTCTGAAAGAAAACTAATTATTCTTCTCTTAGCAACCAGAACCTGTAGTACTTGATCTAAAGGTTGGCTCTGTGAAATTTCCCCCTTCACATTGGCATGTCAACCAATGTTATTATTCTGATCTTGTTTGAACTACTTTATTGTTGAGAGCTCATGCAAACATTATTCCCTATCATGTTTAGGGGACACTATCTAGCAACTGGTATTTAGGGGATCTCACCCGTAAAATCTTTCTTCCTGTATTTTAGGTCTAGGTCTTCATCAAGGAGGAAAATTATGGATATTTGGACAGGATAGTCTTTGTTGTGGGCCTAGGTTTTACAGTTCAGGAAGAATAGCAGTTGTTCCTTTAGTGTGACAGTTTGCATAGCACTTCCAAAGAGTATAAGAGCTAGTTGTCTTTTGTATACAGGAGGGCTACTGATTTTTTTGAGTTAATTTTGTATCCAGCCACTCTGCTGAAGGTGTTAAACAGCTGTAGGATTTCCCTGGTAGAATTTTTGGGGTCACTCAGGTATACTATCACATCTGCAAATAGTGATAATTTGACTTCTTCCTTTCTAATTTGTATCCCCTTGAGCTCCTTCAATTGTCTTATTGCTCTAGCAAGGACTTCAAGAAAAATGCTCAATTCCTAACCAGAGGGGCAAAGAGGATGGACATCAGAAGAAGGAGAGAAGAGGGAACAAGTCGGGAGCCTGACACAGAGGGCCTCTGAAAGGCTCTGCCCTGCAGACTGTCAATGCAGATGCTGAGACTTATGGGCAACCTTTGGGCAGAGTGCAGGGAATCTTAGGAAAGAAGCAGGAAACAGTAAGATCTGGAGAGGACAGGAACTCCACAAGGAGAACAACAGAACCAAAAAATCTGAGCACAGGGGTCTTTCCTGAGACTGATACTCCAACAAAGGACTATGCATGGAGATAACCTAAGACCCCTGCACAGATGTAGCCCATGGCAGTTCAGTATCCAAGTGGGTTCCATAGTAATAGGAACAGGGACTGTCTCTGACATAAACTGATTAGCCTGCTCTTTAATTACCTCCCCCTGAGGAGGAAGCAGCATTACCAGGCAATAGAAGAAGACAATGCAGCCACTCTTGATGAGACCTAATTGACTAGGATCAGAAGGAAGGAAAAGAAGACCTCCCCTATCAGTGGACTTGGGGAGGGGCATGCATGCAGAGGGTGGAGGAGGGGAGGGATTGGGATGGGAGGAGGGAGAGAGCCACAAGGGTGATACTGGGTGGCGTGTAGTTAATAGAGAATTAAAAAAAAAAAAAAAGAGCTAGTTGTCAGGAAAGAGGATTAAGACTATTTCAGCTATATATTTCCAAGTCAAAACATACTATGTGATATCTTTAGCTGGAAGATAACCAAAAGCAATAGAAATTACACTCTTTGGAGGTTTTGTATTTTTCTAACTAATACCTGAATGGGAAGGAGATACCTGGCTTTGGGTATTTGTGAGGTAAAGCTCTTGGAAACAAAACTATGCTGTAACACACACACACACACACACACACACAAATGCACACACACTTTCTATCATCTATCATCTCTGCATCTACTTATTTATATATTGATCATCTATCTCCCTATCATCTCTCTATCATCTATTTATCTATCATCTGTCTGTAAGTGTGTGTATCTGATAAAATGATATACGAACATATGCCTTTGAAAAACATCCTTAGTGTTATATCTGTCCTTTCTCCCCTATGTTTCTATTCTCCCCTCCACAATCAAAAGTGTGCATATATTTTCACTGCCCTGTTAATAACACCTATCTTCTAATATCCCTTTACTCTGGAGCTCCTTCCTCCTCCACTCCCTTGAGGTCTCTTTTTACTTACTTGTCTTCTTTATATGGTTATTACATGATCAGTATAAAGATTTAGATCCACAAATAAAAGAGTACACGTGACATTTTATTTCTAGGTCTGGGCTACCTCATTCAGTATATTATATTTTCTACTTCCACCAATTTACGTGAACAATCATTATCTTATTTTTCTTTACAGCTGAATAGTATTCCATTGTTACATGCACCGATCTTCACTGTCACTTGAAGGACATTTGGTTGTTTCCATTCGCTAGGAAAAAATAATCAAAACTTTTTGAATAAATAAACTGTGCATGATTTCTCTATTGTATATCATCAAGTTCAGGATATCGGGTCATTTTCATGACAGGATTCTCTTTATCCTTCGTGTTATAACTCCAGCAATTGTGTTTTTAGTATAAATAGGCACGAAGATGAAGCAAACAGATGACTCATGCTGTCCTTGTCACATCAGGGATCAAATGCTAATATCTGATATTGCATTTAAAATGTTACAAATTCATAGAATATGAATATTGAAAAGGAGCACGAGTCTCCTAAACCACAAACCTTGACTTAACAAGGTTCAGTTGTATTTGCTGTGAGATCTTAGTGTTTGCAACATTCAGAAGGTCTTCTGGGGGCAATCTCAAATGCAGGAAGTCACTCACTTTCAAACTATCAGTTGCAAGATACTTACAGATCTACATGTGATCAGTGCAGGAGGTTTGTACTTCACTCTTGTAATACAGAACTAAATCACGCAGAAAGCCCCAAAGATGGCCAAAGGTTTCCACCGCAGAATTCCTTTTTATAACCATACTGGTGAGATCAACATGAGTGACACCTCCTTTTATTTAGCAGGGACACTCCTGGTGCTGCTAGTGTCAAACCTGCTCCTTTGGGGTCATGTGGCCTCTGTACGTTTGTGCCCAAGCTGGGATGGTTCCTGCCAGGGGACCGTCAAGGACATGTTTGTTTATGCCCTGAGCCTGTCTGAGGAAATGCAAAACCAAACTGCGGAAATGTTAAATAACTTTGTAAGTATTTCATTTACTTTTGGTTTCTTTCTATGGGAAATTTCATGCTAGTAACTGGGTTACTCTAAAAAAATAAGTGTAAATAACATCAAGGACCGAATTTCATAGGAAAAAAAAAAAGCATCAGTGACTGAGTAGATCAAGAAGGCAAGAGTTTTATGGGATTTCAAAGTCAATAGTTAAGAGAAGACGCTGAATAGATTATTGTAGAATATTAATATTTACTATTGACTTATTGTTTAGTTAAGCAGCTGTTATTTCTAAACCAACTATATACCCAAATCACAGAGAGTGGGATGTATTTAATTAACCTATAGCACAGTGCTGGGCAATAATTACTCCATCTTAAATCTCCAAGCCCTCATAGTTTCCTATCATTTAGCTTACACCCATTATACTTGCTTTTAGTCATATCTAAGGTCCGGTTCATCTCTCCATGTGGTTCCAAGACCTCTCCTGCAGATTCTCCTCCTATCCTCTCTCCTGTTTCTTCTTCTTCTTCCCACTCTGTACTAGGATGTCCCACCCTATCCTCTCCATTGCTCAGCATTGTGGCTGGTTGTTTTAATTGACAACTTAGAGAACAAAGTGGTGGCATGTTTACACAAACTTGAGACAGGTAATGCTTAGAAGCATCATAATACAATGTCTGAATTGAAACCAGGTAGTGGTAGAGAGAAATCAGCATTTGAATGAACATGGGTAAATTGTGTATATTCCAAGAGAACATTATACCAACAACAGATCAGAAAAAAATGAGATAAGTAGATAAAAAGTTGATTTTCTTAATTTTTCTGTTTTTCTTGTAAATGCAAGAACCTGGATACTCCAAAAACTCCTTGCAAATCATAGCAGAGGAAGACATTTCTGTAAACCCTGCCCTTCTGCAGAGAGATGGGGAGGATGGCAGAAAAATCCCGGAGCTATACTGGGCTAGCTAGGCTAGCTCAAGCTACAGCGTACAACAAAAACAAAACAAAACAAAACAAACAAGCAAACAAAAAACAAAACAAACAAAAAAAAAAACGGTGGGAAGCGATTTGAAACAACTCAGGGTGTCCTCTGATCGCTACACTTCTTCCTTGAAGCCCACAGAAGTTCATTTACACAAGTGGACACAAATAAATACCCATACATGCATCATATATATACACACAAAGATTTAAAATATTGCGCACATCGACTGTATTAATAGTCTGGTCATGTATAAATTCATTCATATCCAAATTTAAGATAACTGACTTTTTCAACAGTTGCACGATGTAGAGTACACGCCAGGCAGATGGTACCTTGATGGGGCCCAAAGCAGCTGCCATACTTCCACCTTTGCTGTTCTGCTACCTGGAGAGGAAACGGAACAGATCCAAGTGAGTTTCCAGCTTGTGCTTTACCCTTAAGAACTAAGCGGTTCACTAGCTTCATCTTGATGGTGGTCACCGTGGGTAATCACACATGCAGAAAATGGCAGATGGGGGAGCATTCAAAGCAAAATCTGCATTATACAGTGTATCTATTGTAAAAGAAATAAAAGCTAAGTATTATTATAGCAGATCTGTAAATTGGTCACCCAGAGAACCTATTTTACTAATGCCTACCCCTGGGGTTGTGCTTAATATTATGTAGGACACTTTGTTTTATTATTTTTAGTATTTTTTCATTTTTAATTTATTTATTCACTCTACATCCTGATCACAAGCCCTCCCATTCCAACCTTCCCTCCTGCTCTCCCCATCCCTCTCTTCCTACTCCCCAGATAAGGGGAACCTCCCACCAATCAATCCAGACCAGCACATCCAATCATACCAGGACTCAGTGCATCGCCATTCTCTATGACCCGGCAATGCAACCCTGCTAACAGGAAGTGATTAAAAAAGCAAGCAAAAGAGTCCTTGTCAGAGACAGCACCCTCTCGCCGCTCTAGGGGATCCACATTTAGGCTGAGCTACCCATCTTCTACATATGTGTAAGCGCCCTAGGCCGAGTCCATGCATGGTCCTTGGTTAGTGCTCCATAAGCTCCCCTGAGTCCAGTCAGCTGGTTCTGCCAGTCCTCCCGTGGCGCTCCTGTCCCCTCTGGGTCATTCCATTCTTCCCCTATTTTTCTACAAGACTCCTTGCACTCCTTCCAATGTTTGGCTTTGAGTCCCAGCATCTACTTTGATCTGATGTTGTGTGGAGCCTCTCAGAGGACAGCCATGTCAGTGTCCTATCTGCAAGGGTAGCAGAGTATTATTAATAGTGTCAGGAGTTGGCTCTCTTCTATGGGGTGGCTCCCAAGCTGGGCAAAGCATTGGCGGGACACTACCTCAATCTTTGCTCCATCTCCATCCCTGCACATCTCTTAGGCAGGGTAAATTTCGGGGGGAAGTTGTTGTGGGTGGGTTGGTGTTCCCCCGACTCCACTAGGAGTCCAGCCTAGTTAGAGGGTAGCCTCTTCAATCTCTATGACCCCTGCTACTAAGAGTCTCAGCTAGAGTCACCCTCCTATTCTCCCAGGAGCCTAACCTGTGGTAGGTCTCCAGCTTGGCTCAGATATTCCCTCTCCCATTGTTTTTCTCTTTGCAAGCCCTCTGTTCTCTTGCCTCCCTCCCTACTCTGATCTGTACCTTCATTTCTCTCCATGCACATTCTACAACCCTGTTCCCTCTCTTAAACCACTTCTGCTCTTTAATCTGTTTCCAGGTCTGAGTGATATTTAAGTATTATCCCTTGAGTGCTCCTTGTTATACTTTTTGGATCCACAAATTGTAGTATGGCTATCCTGTGCTATATGGCTTATATCTGTTTATAAGTGAGTGCATACTATGTGTGTCTTTCTGGGACTGGGTTACCTCACCCAGGATGATCCTTTCTGGTTCCATCCATTTGCCTGCAAATTTCATGATTTCCCTGTTTTTAATAGATATGTAGTATTCCAGTGTGTAAATGTACCACAATTTATCCATTCTTCAGTTGAGTGACATCTGAATAGAGATAGATTAGCCATTAAAGGCTAGGCTCACAACCAAAAAATATGGAGGACACTTTGACCTGCATTGCATGTATACTTGAATATATTCAAGAGTATTTATAGGAAGTGAAAACGTGGTTTCATTTATTATACATATGAAAAGCCCCTGTTTTTACAACTTTGCACATTACTGATCATCAAAGCATTTGCTGTCTTTCAAGACTCTCTTTATTTTACTTTTGTTTCTAACATACATGTTCATTCTTCACTGAATTCTGTGACTTCTTCTGTGGCTTAACTGAAAGTCAAGATGTTCTTTTAAAATACTACAATTCTCAGGATGCAACTATGCCCTGTGTTGTGATAACAAGGTCTATATATCACGCTGCCTCTGCTTGCTTTAACTAAACTTAGCATGATTTAAACTGAATCTCAAACATGTTCACATCATTTCTAATCATTCTCACACCAAGATTTTGTTAGTTCATCATTAATTTGTACATTAATGAGAATAGTGTTATCCTCATTAATAATGAATACTATAGCATAAGAACAAATGAAAGAAGATGAAAAGACAATATATGCAGACAGATACTTCACTGTTAGAAATGTCACAAAAGAGTCTACTGTCATGGCATTCTATCCTGATAAAATCTATTCCACAAGTTCCAGTTGCTGCAGAGACTGACATAAGGAAGCTGACGTTCAGAGATTACGTAGAATCCATTCCACATGCAAGTTGACTAAGAATGGTTGTGGGAGCTGCAGCCAACTCATGCGCATACTTTTAATCATGTCATGCCTCTCCCAGAAAACTACCTTTTTACCATGTCATAACATTTAAATATTTTGTATGCATTTTCTAGTGGCCATATGTAAACTGTGCCTCATAGTATAAATGCATGCTAGAGTAGCTATGAATGCAGTTTAGCATATTTGTAATTCATGTCTTACCACAATGTCAAAATCAGTGCATCAATGAAATCCTTACTACTCTGTTTTCCTTATTACCAGTAAAGTAGCTATCACACATCAGCACAGCAGCATTATAATCAGAGTTGGGTTTTATGCGTTATGTTGGCAGTGAGTACAGCCTGGGACGTCAAACTCTTTTATGATCTTCATCGATTTTCGCCCTTTTGGAAATATTTATTTTTGTTTGATATTATGTGTTTTGTCAAATATTGTTGTATTTCAGAAAATTTAATACATTTGTTATATCATGCTGTGTAGGGTATATTTCTTCTGCAAGAGATAGTCACTATGTTGCAAGCTTGGAAAGACCCTCTAAATCAGCTCGTGACTGAGCTGCGGGGTATGAAAGAAGCTCCTACTTCAATCATAGCAAGAGCCAACGTTGTCAGGACAATAATGGATGGACTTCAAGAAGGTGTTAGAAGGATACTCAACAGGGTTTGTAGTCTTTCTATGTTCCTTTGTCTTTCTTGTCCATCAGAAAGATGAGCACTGTCATAAAAAATTTGATGTAACTAAATTTATTTACCTAGTCTTTTAGAATATCTAGGATATGCTATTCCATACTTCAGGAATCTCAATAGAAAGTTAATGTTCCTCATAGTCCTTTTCTGTAGCTGATGAAATCACGCTATTGTCATGTGGGTATACTGAACTCCATACCTTTATCTGAAATTTTACAATTCTAACTTCTCCCCAAATAGTCATTCACCATTTACAATGAATAACAGCCAGGAAATAATAATGTGTAATAACTTAATTTGGTTTTGGTGAATAGATTCATCCTGGATTCAAAGAAGTTGAGGAGTACCCTGTCTGGAAAGGATTAGCATCCTTGCAGTCACCTGATGAAGACATTCGTGTTTTGGCTTTTCATAACCTATTTCAGTGCTTGAGCAGTGATTCACGGAAGATTGACTTTAATCTAAAGCTCCTGAAGTGCCGATTTGTCTATGACAGAAATTGTTAATTTTACGCTCAACCCATCTAATTTTGATATCACTGTTACAAATCTTTATCTTCGGAAGTTTGTTTTTGTTTAATAACTTTTGTATGTGATGCATTCTTTGGTTGTGAATAAAAGTTCACTCTTTAAGAAGGTAATGTCTACATATCACGTGTGTTTTTCCGGTTCTGGGTTACCTCACTCAAGACGATATTTTCTAGTTCCATCCATTTGCCGGCATGGTGTCCTTGTTTGTTTTTTATTAATTTTTTATTAATTAGAGTTTATTCACTTTGTATAGCTATAGGCCCCTTACTCATACTCTCCCAATCTCACCCTCCTCCCGCTTCTGCTATGCTCTCCAAAGTCCACTAATACAGAGGTCCCCTTCCCATTCCCTCTGACCCTGGCCTATCAGGTCTCATCAGGACTGGTGGCATTGTCTTCCTCTGTGGCCTAGTAAGGCTGCTCCCCCATCAAGGGGAGGTGATTAAAGAGCCAGCCACTAAGTTTATGTCAGTGACCGTCCCTGTTCCTATTACTATGGAAACCACTTGGACACTGAACTGCCATTGGCTACCTCTGTGCACGGGTCCTAGGTTATCTCCATGCATGGTTCTTGGTTGGAGTATCAGTTTCAGAGAAGACCCCTGTGCCCAGAATTTTTGGTTCTGTTGCTCTCATTGTGGAGCTCCTGTTCCTTCCAGGTCTTTCTACCTCCTCCTTCTTTCCTAAGATTCCCTGCACTCTGTCCATAGTTTGGCTGTGAGGCTCAGCATCTGCCTTGATACACTTCTGGGTAGTCTTTCAAAGGCCCTCTGTGGTAGGCTCCTGTCCTCTTCCCCATTTTCTCTCTCTTCCCCTGTCTATACTATTTACCTTTCTGAGTGAGGATTGATAATCTTACCCAGGGTCCGCCTTCTTTTTTAGCTTCTTAGGTGTACAGATTTCAGTATATTTATCCTATATTACATGTCTAATATTCACTTATAAGTGAGTATATGCCATGTGTGTCAATATGCTTCTGGGATACTTCACTCAGGATGATCTTTTCTAGTTTCCACCATTTGCCTGCAAATTTCATAATTTCCTTGTTTTCAATTGCTAGAAAGTATTCCATTGTGTAAATGTACCACTTTTTTTTTTCATTTTTTAGTTGAGTGATATTTGGGTTGTTTTCATTTTCTGGCTACAAATAAAGCTACCAGAAACATAGTTGAGGAAATATCCTTCTTGGAACATCATTTGGGTATATTCCCAGAAGTGCTATAGCTGGGTTTTGAGGTAGAGCTATTCCCATTTTTTTGAGAAAGTGCCAGATTGATTTCCAAAGTGGTTGTTCAAGTTTTTACTCCCATTAGTGTTCTTGCCAACATGGGCTGTCACTTTTGGTTTTGATCTTAGTCATTTTGAATTGCATTTTCCTGATGACTAAGGATCTTGAGCTTTTTTAATATACGTATTGGCCATTCCAGATTCCTCTGTGAAGAATTTTCCAGTTAGCTCTGTACCCCATTTTTAAATTGGATTATTTGATTTGTTAGTGTTTAATTTCTTGAGTTCTTTAAATGTTTTGGAGGGTTGGTAAAGATCTTTTTACTTTTCTTCATTATTTTTTCTTTATTTTTAATTATAATTTATTCACTTTGTATCTCTGTTTGAATCACTTTGTATTCACTGTTGTCCTCTCTCTCATCTCCTTCCTATCCTATCCTCCGTCCCTCTTCCCCTCCTATGTCTCTTTTTCAATCTTTTGGCTGCAATTTTGTTCTATTTACAGTGTTCTTTGCCTTACAGACACTTTTCGGTTTCATGAAGTTCAATTTATTAATTGCTGACCTTAGAGCCTGAGCTGTTGGTGTTCTGTTTAATAAGTCATATTGTGGGTCTATGCTCCATACACAGATGTAGCTGTTGGGCAGCTCGATATTCATGTGGGCCCATTAGTAACGGATTGTCTCTGATGTAGACTCTGTTGCCTGCTTTATGTTCACTTCCCCCTAGCCTGGCTGCCTCTCTAGACTACAGGGGAAGAGGATGGACTCAGAATTGATGAGACTTGATGGGATGGGATCGTAGGAGATCCCCTTTTCTGAAGAGTTGAGAAGGGAGTATAGGAGGAAGAGGGAGGGAGGATGGGACCAGGAGGAGAGGAGGGAGGAAGATACAATAGGGATATAAAGTGAATAAACAATAAGTATTAAATTGATAAAGAAGATAATGTCTAAAATTCCAAATTTTGAACCTTTTTTTTTGTTTATGTAATACAAAATCTATCAGTTGGATTGGGTACTATCTATCAAAATTTGTCACCATTAACTAAAGTTTTGTTTGCAAGTAAGGCAATTCAAAGCTTACCTAAAAACCACGGCAAGTTAATATGGGTCATCCTATTAAAGCAATGATTGAGACTGTTACTGTTTCATTTTACTGTAAACTGGGAAAGCTGTAAGTTCTTTACAAAAGCTGACACTGTCTATGGGCTTACTTTTGTAATAAAATGATATACAAATGCTATGAAACTGCTTATGCCTATGTGCCATCAATTTTTAATGTATTAATTGTTAATTAAACTATAATGACTTTTTTTTGCCCTATCTTATGTTCCACCCCTGCCATGCACCCCAGCATCTTGTCAAATTGATAGCTTTTCTCTTTTACTATTATTGTTAAATAAACACACACACACACACACACACACACACACACACACTGCTAATGTCTTTTTAGGGCAGACCATTTCTTATTGGATAAGCAATTATGGGGCTCATATCTGAAGAAGACTAATTCTTCCTCTCAGAAGTGAATAATTGCCAGTAGTTCTTCAACTAGAATTGGAGCCCAGTGAGATTTCTGCCATATATATATATATATATTAGTATCAACTCATTTTGAACTTCTTAAAGTCTTGTTTAAGCATTAATATTCTTGATATTCCTTTGGTGCATATTTCTTGTTATATCTAGGAAACACAATATCATGCAGACATTCTTTTTCCCTGGATATTATAACCTTTATTTCATCTCTTTTATTATGATTTCTGAGCCTTAGGTGTAAAGGTTGTATTATAGATTTATCAATTGACATATGACACCCAATATGACACCCAATAATTATTTTCTCTCTGCATTTTGATCAGTTGTGATTTTCTGTAATTGTCTTTGCGTGATTCAAAAAGAATTTTTTTTTGATAATAGGTTATTGCTATATTTAACTCTGGGCATAAGGATAAGTATGTAGAATGCAATTAGTAATACTGATTTAAAACACTGGCATCATTAGGTTCTGCTCTGAAATTCAAGATCATATTAGCTAAGGGCATTTGGCTATCTTTCCAGTACAAACACTATTTTCTGCTTATTGACTAGGTCTAAGCCCATTTAGACACCTGTTCTTGCTGCAAAGATAGACATGGCTCTGTTGCACCTTTAGATATATCTTTTTGTACTGGTCATTCTTGTACTTTGAGGATATCATGTCTGAGATGGATTAGTGATTGATCTTTTCCATTTAAAGTTTACACAACAACTTCTGATACTATGAAAGCTAGTTTACAGGGATGAGACTACCAGAAAAAGGTCCATTTTGATGCCTCTGAGTCTCATGCAAAAAAACTGTGTATTGTCTCATGAAAGGGAGACCTACTTCAAGATGTGAGAGGCGGCCAAAACAACACTACGTATTCTGAGAAGCTTCTGGGCCAAGAAACTAGATACAGGTGATATGAAGGGTAAAAGAAGAATAATGAGGGAGGCTTTGAAATTAGGAAGGTAGATACATAGTAAAAGAGAAATTAGGAAGGTAGGAAATACATAGTAAAGAGAGGGAGTAGAAATAAATAACACCAAAAGTAATTGAAAAGGAATTAGAGAATCTTACTATTTTATGTTCATCTAAAATTACATATAAAACATTTTATCCATACTTTGAAATTAATTTATATAAGTTCAAATGAGGATTCTTTTTCTCAAAACCATAAACTATTCCACAAAACATACTATCTTGAGATTTTTAAACAGTACAGAATATGTTAGGATACAAACATGGTATACCTAAAATTTACTGCCAACTGTCCTTTACGTTGCGCCTCTGAAATTTTTCTCAACATCAATTTAGGCATTGCAATATGATCTCTTCACTTTTCATCCAACAGGGCCTATTTGGTCTAGATTCAGCTTCAGTTAATTTAAAATACTTAATACATTTCTATTGCCTTGTTGTTTCTCAAGTTACACCCCAAGGAAGACAGAAATGATCCGTCCATACAACATCTCTGGACTTACACTTCTTCAATGCTGTCAGAATGAAATGAAAAAAAAAAAATCATAATTCACCAGTTTGGTTGGTGAAATCAAACAGATATTACTGAAAAGGTCTCAATTTTAACTTCCTGTAACTGGTAATGATTTTTTTTTAACCATTTGGAGTACATTAATGTCTGGTACATTTGTCAGGAGAAAATCTTTTATTTATTTAAATTCTTTTATTATTTATTTATCTCAATTCTCTTATTGACTGTAAAACATTGTTGTGTGTTTCACTTTTTACAGTTTTTACTGTTGTTACCCTCTTCTAAAAAAAATCTCTCCTGGAGAAATACTACTCAAAAAGTGTTCTTCAGTACCACATCACCAGTGACGTCAACACCATTCAGTCACTGCATAACCTTTCCTGGCATCTCTACCACTTTCTGTCCCTTCCTTTACATGTAGATTATAGTAGATAAGAAAGTAAAATAACCCATACACTGTAAGTAATACTGGAAGAATAAACAGAGAGTGAAATCAGTCCATGTCTCTGCTCATGCACTCACAAGTAGAGACTAAGCAGTTCGCTTTCAAGTCTTCTACACTTTCCCTAAGCATGAGGAATCATTGCTCTTGTTATTATTTGGAAGTAGGGTAGCCACAAATAGCTTGTGCTTTAGAAGTTTGCTCCTCAACCTGTGAATTGGTAGAAATTCTACAACTGTAGGAGGCTATATTGACAGGTATACCTTAAGCCTTGGGACACTGTGATACTAA